TCGGTGACCTGGGAGGTCTTTCCCCAGTGATCCCGTGATTCTAAACTCTCCCAAGGCTCGGGAGAGGAGGCTGCAAAGCACGAGACCTACCGAGCTGCCACTGCGGGGAGCACATGGTCTGCATCATCCAGATGGGCAGGGTGGGCTCCAGCATGGCCACCCCCATGTTGGAGAAGCAGAGGGCTCCTGGTGGGGAGAAAAGGCAGAAATGCTCCATTTGAGCCTTTACTTTTGCTGCTGTTTCAAGCAGGGAATCTTCACTCAGGGGGGCTCAGCGTGTGCCAGCCTCCACCTTTACCTGCAGCCACCAGGATGTAGGGGTCCCGCAGCAGGGTGGACATTGGGGTGGCCTTGGTGCTCTGCGGGGTGTCCAAGGGGGTTCCGTGGGCTGGGGGCTGTGTGTGCCCTCACCTGGCCCCTGGCACTGCCCCCTCCCTCACCTGGCAGCGCTCAGGGGTGCCCAGGGCTGTACTCACCTCCGGGCAGATCCTGGAGGGCTGCAGGATGCACAGCTGCAGGGCTGGGGAGAGAACACCCCCTCAATCCTCCTTCTCCCCTCTGGCTTTTCCCTCAGCTCCACCCCTTCCCCCAGCAGAACCCCCGGGGATGCAGGAACTGTGTCTAGGATAGGGTAGGAGGTGGGAGGGAGCACCAGAACTGCCCAGGGTGGAGTGTGTTGGAAGGCTTTTGTCAACCCCTGAGCAGTCAAAAGTGCAAATGCTCTCGCCTGGCTGCCAGCTGGGAGAGGCCACCAGAGCATGACAGGAATTGGATATGGAAAAGAATGGGATTAAACCAGAAAGTCTGGTATGTATGAGGCCTATGTTTTGTTTTTCAGAGGCTCTTACACGGTTCATTACAGATATCTCGCCTCACATCTGGGCAAAGATGGTAACTGGGACTGTAATTTAATTAGCTCAGTACTTCCCACAGAAAAGGCACATTCCTGCTGCCTGTGACTTTGCTGTGGCACTGGGAAGGCTCTTTATCTCTGACACAGTGATGGGAGGAAGCACAGGACACCGTTTATGCTGGCAAAGCCTGATTCCTTCGTGGCATGAAGAGGCTGCAGACAGGAAGGCCTTGCCAAAGAACTCACAGCTCAAAGAGCTTTGCTGAACGTGCCTTTCAAGCCATGAAAGCAATTGGGGGGTTCATTAAGTAATGAGGGATTAATTCTTACATATTGCTGTGTCAGTCATCTGGAGATAGAAACCATGGGATTCAGCACTAACAGAACAACCAGTGCTGATGGTGTCACCCGTCCTGTGTTCACGTTCTCCCTTCTCTCAGATCCTCCCCAGAACACCCACACTGAAACCTTTTCACATGGTGGTTTTCGGTGGGTTTTTTTTGGCAGGTATAAACCACGTGGCCTCTCACCTCCATCCAAGAGGGCGAGGAATGCCAGCACCAGGAAGGGAGAGGATTTCCCGGCGAATTCGTACATGACGCTCCCGAAGGGCGCCCCGACTGCAAGGGAGAGGCTGTGTCACAGCAGGGCAGTGCCACCACCCCCAGCTGCCCCCTCCGGGTCCCTGGGGGGTGTTTTGGGGGGGAAAATGTGGTTGGAAGGTGTGGGGTCCCACGGAGGGAGGGCAGGGAGCAGGACATCCAGCCGAGCCCATGGGACGGGGAAGGGGCACATCCAGGGTGGAGGTGCTGTCCTAAATCCCACTGGGATCGAGGTGTCCTTACTCAGCACGCCCAAGGCCAGGCCTCCCAGGGCGATGCCCATGGCACTGCCCCTCTCAGAGTCGTCTGTGTACACGCTGGCCAGCATTCCCAGCCCTGGGAGCGGGGAGAGAGCACAGGACACGTGGTTCCATGGCGGTGGGCTCCTCTCTTTTGGGGTGCCCTGTTTGCACCAGCCAGGCAAGCCAAGTGAGGAGGAGCAGGAGGAGGAGGATGACAGTTGAACCCAGACAGGGGGAGCTGACACGGGGACAAAGCTGAAACATTTACCTGCCACTGATGAGAAGGAGGAGCCCACGCCTTGGAGGGCCCGGGCGATGAACAGCAGGGTGTAGGTGCCTGAGAAAGCAAACACTGCAGAGAGAGGGGAGAGCTGCATCAGGCTGGGCCTGAAAACCCTGCAGAGGGTGAGACTGGCCTCAGCTGGCACCCCTTTGGGCGCTGGAGGGGGCAAAGGGACAGAGGGCTCCTCGTCCTTTCTCGTCACTCCTTTCTGGGTTGCTCTGCTCTCCCTCCTTTCTCCTCCTCGGGGACAGCAGGGAGGGCACAGCCTAGAGGATTTCCTGGTGCCAGGGAAGGGCAGAGGGAAGGGCAATACTCACTGACTGTGGAGAGGAACATGATGGAGAACCCCACGAACATGGGGATGTGGTATCCTATCCTGGAAAGGGAACAAAAGAGGCACCAGCTCAGCGGGAGCTTTGACATGTGGCCTCACTGCCCAGCCTTAACACACAGCTCTCTGTGGGCTGGGAAGTGCCTCCTGAACGGGTGGGTGAGCCCCCAAGGGCTGGTCAGTGCCCCAGTGCCCCCCTGCAGAGCCCACCCAAAGCCATGGCTCTGCTCTCCCACCCCAGCTCAGCTCGCGGTGTCTGCAGGAGACACAGGCCAAGGGGATCTGAAACCAGCATTGTACCATGGCGGGCTGGGAGGCTGTGTTTGTTTGTTTGGTGCTTACTGGCACCAAACAGCACCTGCCAGCACCTGAGGAGAGCATTAGTGAGGTTTAGACCGGAATATAAACTCACAAACCACGGGCAGGCTTTCAGAACAGGCACAATTCCTGCTATTTTCAGGGATACATTCTCCCCAGTTCCTCTAATCCCACAGCTGCAGCAGCTCAGCCCCGTGGTGGCTCCTGCCTGTCCCCAAGGGGCCACAAACCCGGCTCTGTGACCTACCTGTTGGTCAGGAGGCCCACGCAGGGGTTGACCAGCAGCTGGACCAGAGCCTTGGAGGCAAAGAGCAGCCCCACACGGACGTTCTCCCTGGTGAGGAAGTCGTCCCCCTCGGGGCAGCCCCTCGGGGGTGCAGGGGGGCTGCTGGGGGGCCGTGCTGGGAGGCTGCTCTCCGTCCCACTGGGCACCTCTGGGGGGCTGTCAGAGCCCCAGACAGGCACCGTGGTGTTGGCAAAGTAGGAGAACAAGGAGGAGAAAGGAGGAGCCTTCAGGGCTGGAGGAGCTGGCTCGGGCTGGGCTGTGGCCATGGAGCTGTTGGCACCTTGGTACTCGGTGGTGTAGAGGAAGGTGGGCACGATGGGCACTGGGGGAGAAGCCAGGGAAGGGATTAGTTGGGGATTTTCCTCCCTTTCCTGGCTCGGCACAGAGCCAAGCTGAGCTGCCAGCACCCAGCCCTGAGCAGGGACCCTGCTGGCATCAACCCAGAAAGACCCACAAGAGAAGCTGAGACCCCGAAGACAGCCCCCAGGGGACCCATCCCTGCTTAACCCCAAAGACAACCCCTGAAGGACCCATCCCCCCGCTGTAGCCCCATGCACCCCCCAAGAGTGCCCTGAGCAGCCCCTAAAGAACCCAACCCCACGCTGTGCCCCCGAGGCAGCCCCCAAAGGACCCCTCCCTTTGCTGTACCCTCAGAGAACCCCACACTGCCCCCCTGAGCAGCCCCAAGGTCCAGCCCGTCACCTCCAGGCCAGCCCCCAGAGCCCCCTTACCCACGACGGTCAGCAGCATGTTGTCGCAGCAAGCAGTGCCCACGAACACCACCCACCAGCACGCAAGCCTCGGGGGACCCCCTGCTCTGGGCCAGCCAGCGCTGGGGGGGGTGCTGGGGGGCTGAGGGCACAGCCAGGGGCATGGCCGGGGCTCCGGGGGGCTCCTGGGCTCAGGGGTGAGGGGCTCTGAGCACCTTTAAAGAGAACACTCCGGGTCACTCCTCCCACAGCTCACGGCTGCTCCCTCGGGAAAGCAGCTCCCGGGGGCACCGAGTGTGGCCCCAGGAGCTGGGGGCCATTCCCAGAACCTGTGTGCTTTGCTTTCCCCAGGAGCTGGGACCACCAGCTTCGCTATCAAAGCCCGTGTTTTCATCAGGCTTGCTTTTAAATTCGCAGCTGGAGTGGTGCTCCAACCATTTCCTCTCTCCTGAGACGTCTTGTACCTGCTTCAAGGCATCCTTTCGGTCTCCTCCCAAAGACTCCAGGCACAGATCGAGCCTCCAGCTTATCTGAGGTAATCTCGACATCTTTTATTCCGTGTTTGTTCTTTGGAGATTAAATTCGGCCTCAAAGGAAATTCATTTTACCTTCCGTGTCTTTTTATCTGACCTAATTGAAATGTCAGGGCAAGATCCAGTGCTTCAAAGCCTGATGTAAGTGAGGGAGATCAGGGCTGAGGGAACACTGCTCACACCAAAAATGCCCATCAGAAACTTGCATTAAGCCAACCAATTAACCATTAACGCTCTCACAGCTCTTGGGAACAAGGGACTGAGTGGCAAAATTAATGGAGCTGAGCCCGAACTATCCCTCTTCCCAAAAAAACCCTGTGGTTTCCTGGAATCCCAGGCAGTGACAGTTGTCATTTTTGAATTATAAAAAAGCAAACACTCCAAATGCTTTATCTTCAAACGTGAGTGTCACTGAGCTGGGAAACAGGGCTGGTTCTCCCAGTGCCTCCAGGTAAACACCAAATAACAGAATTAACGCCAGAGAAGAACACAGAGGTACAAAAATGAGACAGAGAGGAAGAGTAAGGGAGCAGAGGCAATAAAGACACGTAGATTAACACCTCCAGCACAAACCCTGGCCCCTCTCCCTGCAAACCTGGGGTGAGGAGCAGAGGAAGATGGTCCCTTACCCTGCCACCCATCGGAGCCGGAGCCGCTGCCTTGGTGGATGAATCCTCCCTGGATTTATGGTTCCCTGTTCTCTGGAGAGGATGTGAGTGTCCCTGGTCCACGGAGATCTAACTGGAACCTCAAACAAGTGCCCCTGAGCCCTGCAGCTGGCTCTGCTCTGCGTCAGCAGGGCAGGGCGCTGGGCTGGGAGCCAGGAGTGTTTGTCCTCAGCTCTCCAGCTCTCATCCAACCCTGGGCTGGCCCCAGGCACCCAAACCCCTGCCTGGAGCTTTCTCAGAGCTCTGGGGGATGTTCAGCTCTTTGTGGTCCCCCCTCTCCTCCTCCCACGGGATTCTGCCAGTGGGGCACCTCCCCACGGCCTCTCCCTGTCTGTTCTACCTGCAGGGACAGGGAGATAGTTCTTGGATTAACCAGGCAAAGCTGGCTGGAAATTCATCTCCAGGCACAGGGGAGCTGCTGCAAAGGCCACTCACAGCGGGATCTCTTTTATTCCATCATTTCTGTTTCCTTAAACTTTTGACACTTTGCCCCATGATTTCTTTTTTAAACCCCAAAAGCGATGCCATCATTCGTTCAGGACACAGAGATTTACGGCAGGGAGGGGAAATAAATCCCAAACATATTCCCCTTTCCTCCCTTGGCACATAAATCTGCCACTGAGGCCGTTTGTCTGCTCCTGCCTGGCCCAAAACCATTGCCAAGGAGGTGAGATGAGAACATCCTGCCCAGAAATTCCCTGGGTGAGCATTAGAGCAGGAGCTGAAGCCTTTAAATATATTTCATGAGCGGAGAATTGAATGCCTGGGCCTGGAAATGACTTTCCCAGCGTGTGGAGAGGAGGCAGAGGATGAGCAGTGCAGCACCACCATCTGCTGAGGGAGCCCAGAACTGCCGGGCTGGGCCCGGGGCTGCCTGGGAGAGGAGCCAGAGGCTCCTCAGGTGAGGAGGGCATGTGGAGACCCCCTTCTCCTTCTCCTTCTCCTTCTCCTTCTCCTTCTCCTTCTCCTTCTCCTTCTCCTTCTCCTTCTCCTTCTCCTTCTCCTTCTCCTTCTCCTTCTCCTTCTCCTTCTCCTTCTCCTTCTCCTTCTCCTTCTCCTTCTCCTTCTCCTTCTCCTTCTCCTTCTCCTTCTCCTTCTCCTTCTCCTTCTCCT